CTCACAGTCCTTCATCTTGGCCAATGCTTTTTGCTTCTTATTTGCAAAAAATAAAAAATTAAAAAATGCATTTTTTTTCTTCATCTAAACTGTTCTTATTCAAGAACCATTTGATGTATTGCACCAGATATGACTTTATTTTTTGTTGTTGATTTTTTCCCTTTTCTGCCGAGGTGAATTGTGTTATTCATTTTCAAAGTTAGTAGTTTTAAAGATCATGCCATATTATCACAGAAGAGGAAACATTGTGATGATACTTCATCGCATCCATACTTTTTTTCCTAACGGCGGTTTCCTGTTTGTCCTAAAACCTGGTTATAAAAGATTGAAAAATAATCATCCTTGCAGATATAATAAAAATAGTCATCTATCCTGTAAACTTTACATAAAATAAGGATGAATGTAATGTACATGTTGCATCAAAGTTTTTGTTCCAATGGTGCATCATTTTGAAATATATTGCACAAACAGAGAAGAAAATGATTGGAGGGAAAAACCGTCAATGGGATGTTCTGAGAATATTTTGAGCAAAGGTAAACAAAAATTCATCTAAAGGAACACAAATCTTGTTTGTTTATTTCTATTATAGGTGTCTTGTAGGAAGCTTCATAATTTAAAGATGGAAATTGCTGTGAAAATGAGAGTGAGATAGAGAATGTGAAGGAAGAAGAGGGATAAAGATAGATACCAATAGGGATAGAGTGAGAGATGTGAATGTGAAGGAAGAAGAGGGATAAAGATAGATACCAATAGGGATAGAGTGAGAGATGTGAATGTGATGGATGGAAGAGGAGAAAGAGAGATTGTGAAAGAGTGAGAGATGGGAATGTGATGGATGGAAGAGGAGAAAGAGAGATTGTGAAAGAGTGAGAGATGGGAATGTGATGGATGGAAGAGGAGAAAGAGAGATTGTGAAAGAGTGAGAGATGGGAATGTGGAGGGTGGAGGAGGAAAAGAGGGGCAGAGGGAGAGAGTGAGAGATGGGAATGTGGAGGAAGAGGAGAAGGAGGGACAGAGTGAGAGATGGGAATGTGGAGGGTGGAAGAGGAGAAGGAGGGACAGAGTGAGAGATAGGAATGTGGAGGGTGGAAGAGGAAAAGAGGGGCAGAGGGAGAGAGTGAGAGATGGGAATGTGGAGGAAGAGGAGAAGGAGGGACAGAGTGAGAGATGGGAATGTGGAGGGTGGAAGAGGAGAAGGAGGGACAGAGTGAGAGATAGGAATGTGGAGGGTGGAAGAGGAGAAGGAGGGACAGAGTGAGAGATGGGAATGTGGAGGAGGAGAAAGAGAGGAGGGACAGAGTGAGAGATGGAAATATGGAAGAGGAAACAGAGAGAGGAAGTGGGATAGAGAGATGGGAATGTGGAGGGTGGAAGAGGAGAAAGAGAGAGGAAGAGGGACAGAGTGGGAGATAGGGTTAAGGTTTATCCTTTTTGGGAGGATAGATTTGATGCAAAATAAAGGATTTCCTGGATTTATTACGATGCTTACCATTTATCACACATTTGAAATTTTGTCAACCGCAATTCCCTTCTCTTACTCTCATTATTCCTCTGTCTATCTCTGTTGTGTCCATGCTGTTATTTCTCTTTCTCTCAATTTCGTTTTCTCTTTCAATTTCATTTTCTCTTTCTCTCCCCTTTTCTGACTCGGCAGGTTGACTGTATATGAAATGCTCAAATTATTAAAACAAATTACATTGCAGGGTGTATAACAAAAGAGAAGGAACAAGGCATGTTGTGTTTTTTTTTTTTTTTTTTGTTGTTGCTTGTTTATATAGATTTCAACATTCTTCCTCATAAGAAATCGTTGCTTGATCACAGTTTTGCAAAAGTTCGAATATCAGCTCTGGGAAATTAGAATCAAATGTCGAGATCAAAGTTCATAGCAACCATACCATCATGAGAAGTTCAAACAATAGTATTTGTGATGAATATGAAGATGAAAGCCGATGATCACAAATAACGTACAGAAGATGGCTGACAATCACATAGAAGATGACAGTCATTCAAAGTTCGCAAGACAATAGTTGATGTTACATCCTCATCTCAACCGACGCAGGATGGTCCCTTTGTACTGACCACGTCCATCAGGATACGCTTCCATTATTGAGGCATGGACACATGCTGGCAGTTGCACCCTGATGTCCTTCCCGAGCCAGCCCCAACACCATCTCACGACTTTCCTGTAGGCCACATACCTGTATTTTCTGTAAAATAAAAAGCAATAAAAAAATTTCATTATTTTTCTTAGGATAGATGATTTGATGTCAAAATATTAATTCTTTATTAATTAATTCAGGAAAATAAAAATGATTAAAAAAAACTAAAATGACCAAGGGTTAGTCATTGTTTGTCGGGCGGTGGGGGGCAACATTCAAAATCGCATATAAAGTTTGTGTTTCATAACTACAGATTATTGGGGGGGGGGGGGGGGGGGGGGGGGGGGGGGGGGGGGGGTAACATGCTAAAACTCACAAACCGGTGGTCATTCTTGCCTATTTGTATACATTTCCTGAAAAAGTGCCCCGAAGCACCTGCAGATAAGGCAGCTAGTACACCAGTGGTCACCAGGCAAGAATTTTGGTCAAAACTAGTAATTCATCTTGCGGTGACTCAATTCGTTTTGAAAAGTTTCACCCAATAAACTTTCAAAATCAATCCATTTATTTTTTTGCCCTTGCCAAAATGATGAAAAGGAGAAACATAACTTACTCATTGTTCCTGTCCCCAAATGCTTTGGCTGCTCGGCGCCACCTATCTGTGTACTCCATCCATCCGATGTACAATGTTGTCGCATTTAGGATGGCCGGCTCAAACTCCTCAGAATCCACCAGACAACTTGAACCCTGTCGATCAGCCTCTGCCTTGACCTCTGCAATTTCCTGACAACAGACACAATCACCTTCATTGAAAGATGGAGGCACACGACATCTTCCACATGTACACCTTGAAATACAGAAAGATTCAAACAAAAATCAATACACCTACTATAATTTTATAAATATTTTATTACAGCTTCCTGATAAATATAAAAATGACATCGTTCTCGTAGTCGTAGTATGGTAAGAGTGCCCAAGGCAGTGCCTATGTCTGCGCACCCACGTAAATGCGCGATATTTATAGAACAAAACATCAAACTGACACCAATTTTCAATCTTAACCTCAACAATTCATTTAGATACCAAAATTTGTGAAAATAATTGGGAAGATTAAAAATGAGTTTTAGCAAGTTTCATTTGCCACCCTGAAAATTTCAATCATTGTCAAAAAAGAAAAGTCTGAACAGGGGGTTGTCCCTGGTATGAAACTTCACTGTGCTTGATTGAATTGCGTGCAAAATAGTGAGTGCGCAGACATGGGCACTTTTCAGTTTTGCTACACAAAATGACGAGCCCGTCTGAAATTCGTTAAAAAAAATTGTTCTTGTGAATAATTTGTCGAGTTTTTTTGTTTCAGTAATCATTAGAATATGAAGAACGGAATAACAATGATGATTCTAAAAATAATATCTTACTGTGTAATGAAATCGAGGTCGAATTTTAGGTGCGCAGACATAGATCTAGAGAATCATTTTAACAAGTTAACTTTAGAATTAGACATGCCATTTATGACCGAGTCTAGAGATCTACGGTATTTGATTTCAATTTTGGGGGGGAATAAATATTTAGAATGCACAACAAATTCAATAAGCTTAAAAGTCTTAATTACCAATCCTCGACATTTTCATGAAGCCGATTTGCGTTGTTGGCCCTTTCAGCATCGCCAACATTTTGCCCAGGTTCACCACGAGGTAAAGGCTCATACTCCCACTCGACGATACGCCCGTGTTCTCCGGCGTCTGCATCACTTGCATCGCTGTCGGTATCACTGCTGCTGCCAGTACTGTCCGGACTGTCACTACTACCACTGACACTGTCATTTTCACCGCTTTCCCCGCAATTGCCATCCTCCTCACACTCAAATTCCATAACTAAATCATCTTGTGCATCTGCCCTGACGACTGGGGTAGCCATTCTCTTTAGAAAGACTTCTCAAAACTTCTCAAACTTCAATCGATAAAAAGCAGAAAGGATTCACGGTACGCAAAATCAATGTAGATCTCGAACATCGCGCGGCCAAGAATTATAGCAAACAATTCGAGTCTACACGAAATGACGTCACCCAAGTCCGTGCGGCGCGGGGGCTCTTGACCGAGGCGAATTTGGGAGGGGGCGGCAGTTGTACTGTAATTTTCATTTTTCTCAGTAATGAAAGGGTATTTAATTTTTTCTTTCTTGTATTTGTATTTTGTGTTTCATTAGCCGTCTGTGGATGTATGGTTGTTTACGCTCCGGTCAAGGTCTTTAAGTACTGTAGTGTACATGTTGTAGTAATAGAGTTGTTCATGGTTTGCTATGATTATACTCTAAAAAAAAACAACAAGACAAATGCGACTGCGTCTCCTATATGCCCCCGCCTTAAAAAAATATCATCCACCTAGAATGTAGCTTTCTATTTTTGTTCAAATAAAGTATTCAGGTGAGTTTCAGGACTATTAGTGAGCCGATGTGGATATGCCAGGCGATCACAAGCTCTCTCCCTCACTAGTAACCAAATAAAGCAGTATTCTGGACATGAGAGTGTTGTTTTCTGTCTCTTTTATTACAATTTAATTGCAAAGTGCTCTTAACAATGTAATCACATTTTCAAACCTCAAGAAAATCATGACAAATAAAAAAAAAATTCTCGTTATTTACAAAGATAACAAAATAAAATAAATCATAAAACAGATTTTTCCACAATGCATGCATGCTCTATAGTACAGTTGACATGTTACATAATTTTCTCAATCTCAATTGAACTGTCAAAATCTTAATACAATCATCATAATCTAGAAACACTTACTACAAAATCAATGACATGTCATGTCATTGAGTTGAGATATATAAACAAGAAAATGACAGACTTACATGCTACTATTTTCAAATAGTTTTACGAAGTATACCATGGTCCTTTATCTTCACAATATGCAGGCACTCATTGTGTACACATACATGTTGTACTTGCCTATGAATCTCAATGATTAGACATAAGAATTACATAATAAAATGGAAACAAATACTAATGTAAAGGATACAGATGTTGGTCATGCTGTTCACAGGCATCGAATGGTGGTTGTACGTTACATGTACATTGTAGCTTGATTAGTTTCAATGGATCTGTAAAGATATAAATGAAATGTGAGTTAGGGGTTAGAATAATCATGCATTGGTACATTTATGAACATGCAATTAATACTTAGTACAAGTATTTATGTATTTCATAATGAAAAATTCAAAGGCACAGAACATGTGTGTACAAAAGTATGATAGCAAAAAAGATGCCAGGCTGACGATGAACGGATGGTGAAACAACGGAGTCATCAAAGAGCTGTCAAGGTGCATGAAATGTAAACCACTCAGGTAGGCAATTAATTAGAGTTATTTTATTCTTAGATATATTGGGTGAACATACATAAAATAAAACATAAAACACAGAAAAGAAAATAGTAAAGGAACAATTTGTTGAAGAAAAAAATAAAAAGGAAAGAGAAAAATAATGTAGATCTAGATCTAGGTAGAACTTGTGCTACCTGCAAATTATTGTTCTAGCATAAGGCCATGTAAAATCGATTACATGTTGATCGTCCGGATTTTTTGAAAAGAGGAGGAGGATGTACCATGTTATTTGATATTTGATATTTTTCCCAAGATGGCTGCCGCGTGTACAAATAGTATATAATTGAATATGTACATCAACCAACGTTGCTGTAGTGAGTTTGATTTGCCCTAAAATATCAATTTTGGCTTTCTTCAACAGGTTTCTTTTTGTCTATTTTTAAATATTAAATGTTGCCTTTATTTTAAATATGTAATTTGTAAATATATTGTCATTTTTGTTTTGATTTTGTAATTGTTGTTTTAACATTTATGTAGATCTACATGAATGACATGTTAGCGCTGGATTTCAGACAGCATGCATGCATTTACGCGCATGCATGCTGTCTGAAATCCAGCGCTAGAGCGCGGCCGCGCTATCGTGAGGTATCTGCGATGCGATGATCAGTCGACTCGATCGACTCATCTCTAGCTAGCTCCTCGACTCAAGCATATACATGCGATATATGCATGCGCAGCGCATGCATCATCGCATCATTTTTTAGCGCAGCTTCACTTCAGCATATCGCCGATCATATAGCATATCAACCACTCTACATTTCAATACAATTTTTTCTAGAGTCTTAGTATGTTTGTACAAGAATATTTGAACAGCGTATTTGAAGAAAAGGTGGAAAAGATGCATATGGTAAGTATTCTGTGTTGTTTTCTGAATAAAAAGAAAATATATCAAATATAAGGAGGCGGGCGGAAAAAAGGAAGCGGGCGGGGACGATCAACGTGAAATCAATTTTACATGGCCTAATGATGAGGTAAACTACTCTAATATTTTGATGTCAGATCTTAACTAACAAACATGAAATAAATAAACCAAACAAAATTATCAACAATAGATTTAGATTTCTACTTAGTAAGGACATACCTCGCAGACACACTCTCGGACTTGGAAGACTTGCTCTTCTTCTTGCGTGGTGCTTTAGCAGGTTGTGTTTTCTGATTCCTAGAAAAATAATTTGAGATACAATTTAGCCTAAAACCACATCAAAACATTATATCATGCAAGGCAATATAATTGACAGACGTAGTAATGGTACAAAATCTGAAATTTCTACGTGGATTTATTGTAATCACGTTTGTTTACATTCACTAACAGACACTACACTGCACTTGGAGATTCACTACACTTCACTGATCACTCCACACTACATGGGAATATTGATACGTAAAATAACATTCTATAGGCCTACTATGTCTATGAAGTAGCATTATATTCAACAACAGACACAATACAAATATATATATCATAATATAATTAAGTTTCAGAAATAAACGTACCTTTTCAGCTGTTTTCTGGGGCCAGTTCCGCTCGTCGATGATCCGTCATTCGACAACAAACTAGTTTCTCTACGAGTGGGACTAGATCTAGTAGTAATATTTTGAACATTTGTCGGGCTCATTTTCGTGGGAAGAATCACTAAAATGGGATAAGGAGGCATCGGAGTATGAGGAGTCACTATCTCTTGATGAAATTTCATCGCTAGAATAATTGCTGGAAGACATTTTGGTGTGATTTGGAGACGTTTGATGAACGAAAATCAGCAAAAGTCCGATGCGCACAGCAGTGGGGAAAAATATAACGGGGAATTTTCAAATTACATACAGTACTTGCGTACTGTCCTCTACGTTGAAACTTTGCACACACATAGAACGGGAATATCTCGATCGAATCAAATGCTTTTTTTTCTATTAATAAAGGAGATTTTTTTTTTGGTTGAAATTTCTATGTGTACATTTTCTTTTTACACATGGTTTATGTATGGTTATCTTTGAGTGCACTAGTCACTACTATAGTTTGTAAATAAAATCAAGAATATTAATAAAGGAACAAAATTGAAATTTCGTACATTTTCTTTTTACACATTGTTTATTTATGGTCATCTTTGAGCTCACTATTCAATATGTGACCCCACAGCTAAAAACCACCAATAAGTCGCAAAATGAACAACAGAGATAATGGCAGGAGAAGCGGGCTTTTTGAATAGGATGCCAGTCATAAACAATGAAAATATGCAAGTTTAGAAAATAGACAAAAAATAGTTTACAAATTTGTATCATGTCATAAAAACTTTAAGTGCAAAAAATAGGAAGAAAATAGTACTCGCAAATAGGTAAAAAGAAGTCTGAAAAAGATAAAGGTGAAAAAATAGGGGAAAAATTGTCTGAAAAAGATTAAGGTGAAAAAATAGGGAAAAAATAGTCTGAAAAAGATTAAGATGAAAAAATAGGCAAAAAATAGTCCTATTTTTTCCATATTTTTTTGGAGAAAATAGGCAAAAAATAGTCTGAAAAAGATGAAGGTGAAAAAATAGGGAAAAAATAGTTTGGTACTCGAGAATAGGAAAAAATAGAACTATTTTTTTCCTATTTTCTTTTAAAAAAATAGGAATAAAATAGTCCACAAAAGTTGAAGGTAAAAAAAATGGGGAAAAATAGTTTGTGCTTGAAAATAGGAAAAAAAATAGGACTATTTTTTTCCTGTTTTCTTATAGGAAATAGGAAAAAAATAGTCTGAAAAAAAATATAGGTGAAAAAAATAGGGAAAAAATAGTTTGTACTTGAAAATAGGAAAAAAATAGCCCTATTTTTTTCCTGTTTTCTTGAAGGAAATAGGGAAAAAATAGTCTGAATTTCCAGAAAATAGGGAAAAAATAGGAAAAAAATAGGGGAAAAATATATTTTCGCAACACACAAAACTACTAGGGCGGCCACAGAAAGAAAGCCAATTCCCAGAATTTTAGAGGGCGCTATTTATGTTTTGCAAAGTTATTGGAGCGTGAAATTTGGCATGGCTATGTGCAATTATGAGATAAAGATACTGTAAGATTTAAATACAAAACGGAATTTATATGAGAAAGTTATGGCAGTTTTAGATTATTTAGGGGTCAATTTTTCAAGAATTTGAGAGATTTTTGACGGAGTCGGTTTCAGATTTGAATTTTGAGTACGAAGATGGCATTTTGAAGGGCAGGTTATGCGTCGCAGATTAAAGAACATCTCTTAGACTATCTAGAGGAATTTGTTAGAAGTTTGTAGGATCTAGGATAGTGGAGATAGGAAGGAAGATAGAAAGGCCTTAAAATGGACCAAAAACGGACAAAATGGCGCCTGGACGGTTATGCATGAGTGATGTCGAAAATCAAAGAATGTAGTGACCTTGATGAGATGTTAGAGACCATGCCTATGAAATTTGAAAGGAAAAGGACATGAGAAAAGCACCGAACCAGGAATAACAAACACTACGTGCAAAACGAATGCGATTTCCTGACGATAAGGATAAGGATAAGGAAAAGGAAAAGGAGGAAAAGGAGAATATTAATGGGGCAGAATGTGAACGAAAACAAGGCAATGACGAAGGTCGTCATTGCAAATATGCTCATCTGACATTAATTTAATGTTTAAAAAAAACCTGAGCTTCCGGGGGCTTCGCCCCCTGAACCCCAGGCCAATTCGTGACCTGCCAGTGTCACAAATAAGGTATAAAAATATGCTCATCTGACGATAATTTAATGTATAAAACCCCTGGGCTTCTGGAGGCTCCGTCCCCTGGACACAGCACCAATTTGTGTCCTGCCAGTTTCACAAATTAATAGAGTATCAAAATATGCTCATCTGACAGTAATTAAATGCCTATACCCCCTGAGTTTCCGGGGGCTCTGCCCTTGGACCCGCGCCAAGAAACGTTCAGCGGGCCTGCATCTAAGAGTGGGGTGATGGGGATTTTGTTGTTGTGTGTACTATTACGTACTCACTATTACGTACCAATACTGTATTTGGCTCGCATAATTTCAAATTTGGGCAACCCCCCCCCCCCCCCCCCCCCCCATAAGAAATCCTGGATCCGCGTCTGGGTACTACTACAGTACTACTCGCAGTACAATTTGCGGTACCCATGCTTTCCTTTTTCTTCTTCCCACAGGGCCAGGGCCCAGATGTTGTGAAGGACCACACCCTGAATGAGTAGATCCACCAAACTATGCCTTGTTGACGTACCAGATACTCGAACGAGACAAGCTCTGGGTTAATTCTTCAACGCGAGTGTGCAGTAAACCATCGTTGGCGTCGACGATATTTATATCAAAGCAAATACATGTTCATCGAAATACATGTACACATATTATAAACACAAAATTATTATGTATGTGTCTTTTTGTTTAGAATGGTTTGAGATTTGCAGATCGAAATGGAAAAAAAGATAAAATAATAAAATGACTTACACGAAGGCATGTTTTAGGAATGTGAAAGGAGAGCTGACCAATATAATAGAGATAGAAGATGAAGAGATTCAAGAGGGGATGCTACTTTACACGCGAGACGAGATGGGTAATGAAAGTGTAAAACTAGATAATTCTGTGATTAGAACTAAATTAAGAGAACATAAGATGAACAATTATCTCTCGATCATGTCAAACGTCCTGAATTTTTAAGAATCTGTTTTCTTGACACATATCTCTTCCTTCTCTCTTCTATATATTTGCTCAACAGGATCTCTTCACTCTCCATTACTCTGCTCAAGAAGTATATCTCTTCCCTTTTTTAATTTCTTCTTTACGTTGTATAACAAGTCACAATTCTGAATCAATTCAAAGTTTCTTCTATAGCTTCATCTAATATCGGAATTGCTAACGAGTAATTGATACATTTTCTCTTTTTTTTTTTTAATCTCTTCTTCTTTATCTCTTCCTCCTGTTTCTCTTCCACAATTTACAAAAATGACCTAGACAACAGAAATAAAAAGATACAAGGGCATACTATCAAAGATTGTATATTGTCTTATTTTCTTTTTACTCACACAACTATGAGAAGTAATGCATCATGTGAACAATTTACATATCATAAAAAATAAGTATGTTTCATACAAGATTCTTGGTATTGCCATTATAGTAAGTTGTGGTAATTCCACCGATACATGTATGTAGATTTTACATAAGTTTACAATCAATTCATTTATGTCAATTGAGAGAAAATCAAGAATTAGAAGACTGGCAATATAGCCACCAATGAGCATGAAGCTTTTTTTTCTCAATGAAAACACTTCTTCTTTTACAATGAAAACAATTTCTAGCTAACAACGATTATTAAGACCCTTAATTTCCAATCAAGAAAGAGTACTGTTTAGCTGGCAAGCAATTAATGCACATAATTCAGTTACTTTGTATTACAATGAAACAAGTCTTCTTTAAACAATGAAGATAATTTCTACAGTTTAACAACATCGATTAAAGACCCTTTCCGATCAAGACAGAGAACTGTTTAGCTGTTCAAATATATATGGGGTGTGTCTGAAACTTAACAAACATAAAGTCTTCTCTTTCGCCTATGGATTATATATTCATCAAATGGCACTTACTATCATGAATATTTGTCTTGTTTAATACTGTGAAGTTGTCCAACATAAGTCTTAGACGATTTATGAAATAACATTTGTAAACTTCTTCAAATTGCTGTTTTAACTGTTTTTGTTTTATTATTAATAAACATAATCTACAAAAAGGAAGAAGAAATGGAGAGACATATTATTGATCAGGAATTTTGCCCTAATGTACAGTAAATCAGAATGACAGAATCCTTGGTGAATTCTGGTCATAATAGTGCTTTTCCTCACTTCACCTTTGGCGAAAGTTTCAGTGACGAAAATTATCATCATAAATATAACAGTTAAACAGACATTTAGTTATAGTCCTCTGGAATACCTCCTTGAATCTTTAATTTGGATTTCTATATTTTGCTAAAGTTTCAAATATAATTACACTGCCTAATTTCATCACGATTCATATGATTTATACCCTGTAATGTAAATTTTGTATTTCTTTTGAATCTATGAGATTGGTTCATAGCAAAGAGTATAAATGTATCAGATTAGAGAGCATGTATATTTCAATTCATTTCATTTCGTCTCCATTTTACAAACCATGATAAAATGATTGTATGAAAATAACCTACCTGCATATAAATCTGATGGAATAAAAAGTACAAAATTGCATAAAATGCAATAAAATAATACATAGAAATTTTGATAAAAGAAATATTGCGGGGTTAATAATATTTACAATAAAATAGTTTCAAGCCACACCTTAAAAAGCCTGGAGGCTGTCCTTTAAAGGGTTAGCTATGATCTTCAAATTTAAAAAAGTTGTAGCAAATACAGGATTCCTTTATTATAATATAATTATAATATAAAAGCAGCAATCACAACTGGATTTGCACTTGCAAATACATTTATATACATGTACCTGTGTAGATACCATCACATAGCAAATTTAACATGAATTTCCTTTTATAAACATTACCAGGAATGTGGTCATTTTTCTGAGGCACATTTGGCATGTATCAATATTGAATTCTAGTAATGTTAAAAGTATGATCGTAAGAAATATGTGAACATTTGAATGACATATTACATAATCTGAACATGGTTTCTATGACCAATAGAAGGGGTGTTGATATAGCTCTCGAGTTGATTTCTCCACAATATTTGTTATAATGTTTTAAGTACCGGTACTAAAAAAGTGAATTATATCATCTTAGATCAAGCTTAAGTACAGAAGCATGCACGATACTTTTGATTCTGTTTTGATGACTTCCCTTCAGAGTGCAGCAATGTTTAAATTTGTAATCATAGGTCGTATTTCAGAAGAAGAAAAAATATATATGAAACATGTGGAAAATATTTTCTTACAAATTACATAAACATTTATGCAAGACAAAATACTATTACAATATCATTAGAAATAACAAACATTTTAATTCAAGAACATCATTTAAATCATTGTCTACCGAAACCAAGCGGTGGTCCCTGCGTTAAGCGTATGGCAGGCAGTGAATTTCAGTGAAATTCAGTACTCAACAGGTTACTGCATGGGTTTGAAAGAATGTACTGAATATAATGTAAAGGGTAGATATTTAAAGTTTGATGTGCTTTCCTAGATCCTAGAAATGTTACTATGTACATCAAGGCACCAACAATGGGGAACTTTAATTAAAGGTTACCGGTATACAAAGTTTTGGGAAATTTTGAAAATTGGGTGGATAGTGAATCTTTACAATTTTGATATATTAGGATGCTCCTATGGATGTTTATAAGCACTAACAAAATTAGCCCCTAAAACACTTCTGTTTTTCAAGAAAAATTGAATATAAAATTTATTGGTGCATGCTCCCGTTAAATTTTGATAAATTTCAAATAGCGTCTATGGCCGTGCAATGGTAGCTGCGACCATGAAAATCTCAGGATATGTAGTTGTGATATATACTTTCCAAACGGGAATAGCTAATCGGTCGATTTTAGTCAAGAAACATTGTTTCATAGCTAAATTAATATCTTGACCTTGAGAGGGAGCTATACAACTTAAAGAGTTAATAGCTAATCGGTCGATTTTAGTCAAGAAACATTGTTTCATAGCTAAATTAATATCTTGACCTTGAGAGGGAGCTATACAACTTAAAGAGTTTATTATTTATAATTTCATAACTTTATACTCGATTTCAACCGCGACAACGATTAATGAATATTGTAGGAACGCATATGCCTCCAATATGTTAATTTGAAAGAAAATCATGACCCCATACCGAAACTTTGTAATACCTTTAAGCTACTCAGACATTATACTTTCATATATGGAACAGTGTAGTACTCAATAGAGAAGCATAATTTGCATCTCATGAAGTACAAAATAGCTCATCAGCGAGACGAATTTGACCAACCTTCCTTAGAACATCCTTCAGGGCTTTACACTCTGTGGCCTTGGTTTGCGTATCTCTCCAGTCTCGGAGCATTGACAGTGTACCCATGTATGATACATGTGCACTCTTTATGTTTGTGTTGACATAGCGTTCAATATCTGCTGGTTCATAGCCGAGACCCTTCCCGAGTTTTATATCTCTTCGTGCTTGACAATTTTTCGAGCAATGGTGATCAGATTTTCGTCAAAGTCTTCCTGTCTACCTGAAACGTTCCTTAAAAAAATCATATTAACAAAAACATTTGAGTATATTACATGTACTGACAACAGGGACACCAATGGCTACACAGCTAAACGTGATATATGTAAAGCGCTTTAGAGATGTGTTTTTTTGTATTAATTATTAGCACCATAATAATCCAAATTATTATTGTTACATTTTTTTTTCTCCATGTCCTCTCCATTCAAAATGTTAGGATTTTGATTTTGATGTGATTTCACTTGCACCATTAGCAACAGTGATTATTCAATCATTATTTACTTGCGGGTGAGCCTCAGAATGGTTTTAATTCATAGCATACTGACAGCATTCAATTATCTCTATTGGGCTTTAATCATAAGACTAGTAAGCCCTGTTTCTCCCTACTCTTCAGCTATCTACATTTTGTTTTTAACTAACATTGCAATCAAGCAAAATATTATTTAAAGAAATAATGTCCACACTCTAATCATGCTGTTTTTGCAGCAATTTGATTACCATTTACCTTACAATATTTTCTATATGTAATATAGCTGTTTATTTTTTTTCTTCAAAATTTGTTGGGGTAGGGGGCCAAACTGCCCCTTGCCCTCCCCCCTCTAAATACATTAGTGATTTCAGGTTTACACCTGCACATGTTCTGATCTCAGTCTGAGTCTACTAACCATGCTGATAGTATTGCTGGTGAAAGAAATTATCATAACTTACTCCAGAATTTCCTCTTTACTTTGATGTGATGCTTGATGTGGCTGTGAACTTGATGCACCCTGCAATGGATCTACAAAAAAAATCAAATCAGGAAAAGAGTACCAGTCAAATAACGAATTGCTGTGTAAAGAGAAGAAGTAGTAATAGTAGTAGGAGTAACATTTTGTTTTGTTAATGATCTCTCTCTCTCTATCTCTCTTTCCTGTCATTATTGTTATCATCCTATGCGTTTAGAAATATGGTATGAAGTGCTTCATAAATGTTGCATGATATCATTTTTTTGATTAAATATATATCTTGATGGTATGTACAGTTTATGATGCAAGATGATCTTAGTCATCTCCAAATTAAACTAGACTGTACAGACATAGATTGACAATGTCAGTCTCATGAACACTCAGCTGTCAGACTGCCTGCCTGACCAAATTTATGCAAAAACAAAGTATCATTAGTTTAGCAATAGAAATAACAAACATTTTAATTCATGAACAGCATTTAAATCATCGTTTACTGGAACCAAGTGGTCCCTGGTATATGCGTATAGGAATGAGTGAATTTCAGTGAAAATCAGTAGTCAATGAGTTACTGTATAGGCTTGAAAGAATGTACTGAATATAATGTAAAGGGTAGATATTTAAATTTTGATGTGCTATCCTAGAAATGGTACTACATGTATGTATATGTACTGGTCAACAACCCCCTGGATAACCACCCCTAGGATAACCACCCTCTAGGACTACCCCCAGACAACTACCCCCTAGTACAACTACACCCCGGACGACGTAGTTGTCATAGGGGGTGGTTGTCCTAGAGGGTGGTTATCCTAGGGGTGGTTATCCTAGGGGTGATTATCGGGGGGGGGGGGGGGGGGGTGGATGTCCAGGGATAGGTGTCTGGATACGCTGTCATATATATTTCATTGGAACAAAGCAATCTTCAAAAGAGAAGAATTTGAATTTGCATCTCAATACGTACCAAATAGGATATCAGCGAGACGGATTTGACCAGCTTTCTTTAGAACATTCTTCAGGGCTTCACACTCTGTGGCCTCAGTTTGCCTATCTCTCCAGTCTCGGAGCATTGACAGTGTACCCATGTATGATATATGTGCATTCTTCATGTTTGTGTCGACATAACGTTGGATATCTTCTGGTTCAAAGCCGAGAGCCTTCCCAAGATAATCTAGATCTTCATGCTTGAAAACTTTTCGAGCAACAGTGGTCAGTTTTTCGTCAAGGTCTTCCTGTCTCCCTGAATCGATCCTTAAATAAATCATATTTTAAAAAAAATTATGTTAGTATGTTTCTAATTACGGCACATGTACTGACTAAACGGGGGGGGGGGGGGGGGGGGGGGGGGGGGGGGGTGTGTCAGGAAAAAAATGTAGCCAATGGCTTAACGAAAAAATCTTTCCCAGACCCTAATTTGCTTGGCGGGATATACACTGTAGTGCACCTGACATGGAATACTCACCAGGGAGTGGAGATGGTGCACATTGTGCGTAAATAAACCCAATGACAGGATTACTATTTGTAAATCGCTTAGAGATGGTTTTTGTATTTATTATAAGCACTATATAAATCCAAATTATTAATATGGTTACATTTTAGTTCCTCCATATACATGTACATGTACTATTAATCTGAAATGTTAGGATTTTGATTTGTTGTTAATTGCAAACTTATATTGCAACCAAGCAAAAAAAATTGAAGGAAATAATGTCCAAACTCTTTCACAGCAATTCGATTATCATTTACCTAACAATCATTTTGTAATATAGACGGTTAATTTTTTCTTCAAATTTATTGGGGGGGGGGGCAGACTGCCTCTTGCCCTTCCCTCCTCCAAAGACATTAGTGATTTTAGTCTGAGTCTACTAACCATGCTGATAGTATTACAGGTGAAAGAAATTATCATAACTTACTCTAGAATTTCCTCTGTAACTCGATGTGATGTTTGCTGTGGCTGCGAACTTGATGCACCCTGCAATGGTTCTATAATTTTTCAAATCAGGAAAAAAGTACCAGTTAAATAACGAATTGCTGTATAGAGTATCGAAGCTGTGACGTCATAAAAATCTATTTTTAGAATTTTTCATTTTTTTCTTCATTTTCCGAAAGAGCATCAAAAATAATGTCCAAACGTCAAAAACCAATTTAATACATGTATGTTAAGTATTGACTGAGATATGACCATCTGAATAAAAAGATTGCCTACACGTACAATGTATATAGGAACTCAGTGTTATATATCCTCTGGCTCCTAACCATTAGGAGCCAGAGAACATAACACTGAGTTCCCATAGGATATATATTTATTCAGATGGTCATATCTCAGCCAATACTTCACATATTCAATTGGTTTTCGACATTTGAACATTATTTTTTATGCTCTTTCGGAAAAAATGAAGAAAAAATTGAGAAATTCTAAAAATTGATTTTTGATGACGTCACACTTCACCATTCTTTAGAGTAGTAGTAGTAGTAATAGTAGTAAGAGTAGTATCAAACATGTAGTACTTAGTAGAACTTAGAAGTAGTAATAGTAGTAATAGTAGTAGGAGTAAAATGTTGTTTTGTTATAATGATCTCTCTCTCTCGCTCTCCCTCTCTCTGCCTTTCTGTCTCTGTCTCTCTCTCTCTCTCTCTCTCTCTCTTTCCTGTCATTATTGTTATCATCCTATGCACTTAAAATGTGGTACGAAGCACTTCATAAATGTTGCATGATATCATATTATGATTAAATATGATAAACAAGCGACAACCTTGTCAGTCTTGTGAATTGTTGAGGGCATACAAGAACAGTTATAAAACTAAATCTGCAATTGTATATTAGGATGATATGCATGCATTGATGCCCATGTCTATGTCCCAGATGAAAGAGCATCTCGTGGAAAATCTAGAGCAATTTGTTAGAAGTCTGTAGCATCTTGCTAAGTGGAGATAGAAAGGCAGAAAGAATGGCATGAAAATGCACCAGAAAATAGCTCATGGACGGTCACCCATGAGTGATTTCAGAAAAAAATGTTCAGCGACCTTGATGGGATGCCAGAGACTATGTCACCAAAGTTTGCAAGGCACTGGGATAGAGGAAGTGACCTAGCTAGACCCAGGGGGGGGGGGGGGGGTGTTGTCAGATTTGGTTTGGATAGAGGTGTGCTGCTCAAGCCTCAAAACCCCTACCCATCTTTAAGGGTCATCTGGGGGGGGGGGGGGGGGGTTTGCTGTGCTGTGGCCCAAACGGCCTTTCATACAAACATAATCATGCAGGCTATAAAATGGGCTCTAAAATCCCTTCCCCCCCCCCCCCCTTCCCTGCTAGACAGATTTTCAGAATCTGGCTTTGAGATGCCATGCGTTTTGGCAACCCAGAATAAGCTTGCAAGGAAAAAAGGCCCCTGCAATTATTATAAACCCAGTAATTGCCAGGTACCAATTTAGATTAGTGTTTTGCCAAAAGATGTAAGTGCCAGGGTGAGATATTGGAACACCTCCATAAACAAGAGAGTTAAGTCATGAAACTCACCTGAACCTGAGCGGTACTCCTCTTCTCTTTCCTTCCTGATGTTCATATCAATACTCTTCCTCAATCTTTCTTCGAGCGCTTCATCGTGAATGTTTGCTCCAGTCAAGCTCCTCAGTTTTGGCGAGACGAAAGATGTATCGCAACAGAACACAGGAATAACTCTGCCTCCTAAGCCCTTGTCTGTGAGAGACTGGAACGCCATCTCAATTGTCATGGTGTGATTTACATTTTCATGCTCACCATCCTCTTTTGTGATAAGATAAACCACATGTGAACTGTTAGAGACGTCCTTCTCAATGCTTTTTAATACCGGTTCGCCAAGTTTACTATCAAAAGGAGTTGTCATCTTCCACCCATTCCCATGAATAAGATTCTTCATCTTTAGAAAATATGATGTTTTATTTGATGCCGAAAGTAGATAAATGTCATAGAACTCTTTTGGGGGAGGGGAGTACCCCTTAAAGGATTGACGGTCTCCATTTCCTCAGTTCTGCTAGGTATATCCATATAACCTAAAATGAAGTAGAAAAAAAAGAAAGATACATAAGTGTCACTGATAAGTGGGTCATTGCTTCAAGCCCCCAGCACTGCACTTATTTCACTGAGCAAGGCATTTAATCTGGATTGCTCCTCTCCACCCAGGTGTGTTAAATGGGTACCCCGTAGGATGCAAACTTCATTGTGATTGGATTAGCAAGTGCTTGTCTGTCAAGAATGCTCCCCAGGGAGTGGATAATGTGCACTGTAATATGCAGAATATTAATTGAATCCAGTGACCGGGGTAATAATAATAGCTACTGTAAGGACTTTGGTCAGTTAATGTTAAAGTGAAATATAACAAACCTGTATTATTATTATTTTCATTAATAAGTGAGGCTGCATGTTACCGGTAATACACACGCAACAAAACAGGACTTTCTCCACGACACAGTTCATTTATACTTAAGAAAGATAGTTATGTCACTGGAAGTTTTATCTGATTGATCAGCCATTTCATGGACTTCTTAATAGTTTCCTCCCATATGAGATTTATAAGGTGCTGAATCCACCTGAAATCAAATACTGAAGACGCACTTGTGAAATGAAAACAAACCCCAAAATGAAATCCCATAAAAACAAAGGAACCGAAGGTATGACAGAACTTACAAAAATGTACAGAAATGACTATTAATTATATGCTGAATCATGTGAGATAATAAGAGATTCGCAGTTAGCTTATTCAGAAGGCCAAGCTTGTGCAAAACCATCTGCATTTACACTCATTACTAAGATCTAGCTCATTAGGCCTGTCCTCATCAGCTCAAGTTTGCCAAATAGCCTGCTATTTCTGATCCGGGATATAAGCTCGAAGTTACAAATTGCGGCTTCATTAACTCCAAACTTAAGCTCAAGAAATTTGCTCAGTGTTCGCACATTCGAGCTGGTGAAGACGCACTGGACAAATAGCGGGCTATTTTGCAAACTAGCCCAAGATATCTTAGGAAGATTTCCCCGACCAAATAGCCCATTATTTGTGTCTTCACTTGCCAAATAGCCCACTATTTCGTGTTCAGGCTAACTTCCTGAATAAAAAATAGCAGGCTATTTGGCAAACTAAAGCTGATGGAGACAGTCCTGATGATCAGGTACTTGATTGGAATGGTGGTTGGAAGGGTTAGTAAGGGAAGGTTTTGCAATAGGCCCCTGGAGTTTTTGTTTTATTGCCGATCTCATCATACACATTTTTTCAAGAAAACAAGCAGATTAGCTGAAAGTAAGTCACTATATTTTGATGTTTAAAGGTAAAGACCAGTAATGGTCATGCGATTGCATTGTGAAAGAAACGTTGTGGAATCGATCAGAAAAGGTTGATCATCTAGCATCTAGCATCTGCAAGGTTATGGAATCATCAAAATGATAAGAAATTTGGCCCATTCTTCGTAAAGTTACAAGCACTATACACAAAAAGATGTATATGGGACTACCCTATATCTCTCACACGACCATGAGAGAAACAAATTTACCAAATATATGAATTAGTAGGCGGTTTCCCGGCAAATTTTTTATCATAATGTATTAGTCAAAACATATTCTTTCACATGATTGGTAATGAAAGCTTCCATTTCATTTTTTGAAATTGGGGCGTTTCCAATACTGGTCTTTACCTTTAAAGATAAACTCCAGTTCTGGTAAAAAAAAGAAAATTAATTCTCACAGAATCAAACGAAACTTACACTGAATGTTCAAGATTACAAATAAATGACATGTGTCAAACAATTTTGGAAGAAAATGTATACTGGCTGAGTAATGAGCATAGAAAGACGAAGAAATCAAGGTAGTACTAGCCCCGACACCATGTGTGTTGTCCCATATATAGCTTTCTGTGTACAGTGCTTGTTACTCTACCAAGACTCGGTCAAATTTATTATGATTTTGATGACTCCAGAACCTTGCAGTGCACACCAATACTTACATGCTACATGATCAACTGTTTCTGATCCTTTCCACACCTTTTCTTTCACAATGCAATCGCACTATCAGTACTAAAGTTTATCTTTAACAATGATTTTCAACATTATTTTGAAATTATATAAAAAGTAGATCTATTTTCTTCCAATTATATTTTTTTAATATAAAACTGTTAAGTCTAAATAAAGAAAAACTAATTTAAAAAAGAATTCCCCATAGGCCATACCAGATGGTTATTTCTGTCTAAGAAAAGACTTCCATAACAAGCTGAGGCCTAATCTAATCTGTAAACACCTTCCAGATGAGATCTTCCCCCTCGACCAAGGGTGAAGCATTCACAAAATCCACATTATTACCCAGCTCGATCCCTACTCCTCCCTTCTCAGATGATGAACTGAAAAAAGCAACACTCATTTGTATCTACAAGATCTTGTAAGATTCGTGTAAACCATCCCCTCAATAATGACTAGATCTAAGCGATCTGCTGCTAGTTATATATGCCGTATTTATGGACATATCTACACCTAACTTCAGCTCCAGGGAGCTCCACCGCCGAAGGCGTCGGCATGGGCGGCGGAGCTCCCTCGGCCCTCCCTGGAGTTAAAGATGAAGTTGAGTTCTGGTCATGCGATTGCATAGTGAAAGAAACTGTGTGGAATCGACCAGAAAAGGTTGATCCCCAGGTCAAAAAAACAGTTGAAACCAGTTGGATTTTCAACTGGTATCTAGTGGAATCAACTGGTACCAGTTGAATCCAGTTGACGGAACTGGAATATGTGCCAGTTTATTCTACTGGTTGCAACTGGATTCAACTGGTACCAGTTGAAACCAGTTGACACAACTGGTAATTTCACATGCACCAGTATATCCCAGTTGAAACCCATTGACCTTACTGGCACGTGCTGAAAACAAACCAGTTGATTCCAGTTAAAACCAATTAACTATACTTGTAAATTGTTACACCAGTTGATACCAATTAAAAACAATAGGCCTTACTGGTACATCTGCCAGTTGATTCCAGTTTAAAACCCATAAAACCAAAGTGGACAATGAGACCAGTTGTTTCCTGTTGGAACATATTGAAACCCAACTGGGTGTAGTTTACAAGTTGATTCCATTTGAAAGCCACTATAGGCGTATAATTGGTATATTATTAGACCAGTTGATACCAGTTAAAACCAATGGGCTTAAAGGTATAGTTGAGTATTGGTAATTTCCAAAGTGCCCCTCCAAAACAGATTTGGTTTATTTCAGTACCATATGAAAGATCATCGAAAAAAACATGGGAGATGGTAATAATTCCAAATCAAATGCTCTAATTGATGTGCAATTTGCTTTCAAAACATTATATAAAAGTGTTTGACGTCCGGACATCACTTTTGACTTTCGACGGTTTATTTTTTGAATTTACGTGTTTAGCTCCCTCTATGTCATTTAACAACCAGCGTATTTACAACGAGTGTTTGAGTTCGTTGGTACGTACAGTACAGGTAGCTAGCAGGCGGGTATCCGACCGCGCGCTAGTAAACAGTACAGCTGATCAATTCCAATACGCTGCTTTCACGTAAAGTATAACACACACAGCTCGGATCATATTATCACCGGCGCCGATCGAACGCTAGACAGCTACAGACAAGATTGAAATACGATAACGAGATCGAGATTGGAAAAGGAGCTCGAGGTCACGGACGATGGCCGACTCGGACTCAGCTAGTGCTAAGCCTAAGGACAAGGCTAAGGCTACGCTAAATCGGAATAAGACTAAGTAAGACGGTAAGAGGAAGGAGAGAAACAAGCAATGGCAGCTCGACCATCCGGCCCAGAGGAGGCGCGGGAGTGGCTGTGAACAAGGCCAGGGTACGGCGGAGAAACTTCGCGAGCTGCAGGCGGCCTTCTCGTTGCCGAGTCTAGAGGATGCAATAGACCCTATGGCTATGCCAGCTCACTGAGAGGTAAGTTGAAATGATATACGCCCCACTGCATTGGGTAGGCCTACCGTTTTAATTTGATCTAGTCTAGAGACTAGATGCATGGAATCGGCAAATTTAAGAAATTACGTTTGGTTATCTCTTGGCTCTTGCCTTGGATTTTTAATTCAGATTTCATGAATCATATGATTATGATATTGATAGTCTAGCCTAGGTCTACAGTAGACCGAAAGCTTCAGTCTCTATATCGTCGGTTGTTCCACTGAGACTACGTCTGGCTCCACTAGACCTCCGGATGAATTTGGTTCAAATGAAAATATTGGAAGCATATTGCCATATGCGATCCTACAATATTCAGTGAACGTTGTCGCGTTGAAATCGAGTCTAAAGTGATGAAATTGTAAATAATAATCTCTTTATGGGGTATACTATAACTCTCTCTCAAGGTCAATATATTAATTCAGCTATACAACAAGCTACAATTGACCGATTGGCTATTACCTTTTTGAAATTATATATCACAACTACATATTCCGGGATTTTTATGGTAGCAGCTACCGTTGTACGACCGTAGGCGCTATTTTAAATTTATCAAAATTTACCGGGAGCACCGGTAAATTTTTATATTCAATTTTTTTCGAAAGCAGAACTTGTTTTAGGAGCTAAATTTTCTAGTGCTTATAATACTTCCACAGGGGCATCCAAATATATCAAAATTGTAAAGAATCACTATCCACCCAATTTTCAAAATTTCCCAAAACTTTGTAATAGACCCTACCTTTAATGTCCCTCGTTACAACTGCAGTTTTCTTTGTAATGATGACGTGCAGGGCTAGTCAACCGGGTAAACATCCTGCTCTTTTTAAAAGTCGACAAGGTTATACTATAGCTTGCTTGAGATGTGACTGTCTCATCTATATTTATCTCTACCAAAGAGTGTCTCAACTTCACATACATGACAGAGAACCAATGCATCAGTTATTAGTCAAGCAAATTCCAAATCTGGCTAGCTGTGATAATTATTAGAGAATGCCATCTTCAAAATAATTTCTTTTGGTGATTTAAAATCTGAATGTTTTTTACTTTGTGAATGACTTTCA